CTCCTTGTGTATTTAAAAATCTTTGTGTAATAAAACCCAAAAAAAAGTTATGATTTACGTACTGATAATTATCTTAATGCCCCTTTTGTCGGAATAAGTATACTCAATTTTGTATTTCTTATCGTGGTCCATATCTATGGAACAAAATAGTTATACATAATATAGATTTTTATATTAATTTGACTTATAATTATTTCAAACAAAAATTAAAAGAAATTATTTTTTCTCTAGAAAACATCTTTATTTACTTCTAACGATTATATGTTTTTCAGTTTTATTTTAATTTTGTTAATTTTACTGTAATCCATATAACTTGACTAGGGAAATTGTAAATTTATATTATTTAGATATTGTTGAAACTATAAATTGTACAGGGCTTTGTGATAAATCTATATGATCTTCTAGAAGTCCTTCTATTAATCTTTTATGCACATTATATTTTATCATAAAGAATTATTGTAAAAAAATATATATATTGTAAATATATATATAATATAAATATGTATACATATTTTAATATATATAAAAAATATATATATAATATATTGTAGGGTAAGGTTGTCGATATTGTACCCTCTAAGAATGAAGACAAAAATATAGAAAAAATACTTAGTAGAAACAACTAGACGTTATTGTATTTTATAATTTGGGGATAAAATATTGTAAAAAAGTTGAAGTACTCAAAACTTAAATTTAATTTAAACGTTAGTGTTTGATAGGGAATTAAGTTTTAAAAAACATGCTATAGGTAAAATTAATGAAACAAGATCCTAAATTGTACCATTATACAAATACTATAATAATTTACAGTACATTTTGAACAATTTTTGTAAAGATCTTTTTCTGTGCCAAGCAATGCAAAAAAGTTTTGAATTTAATAAACTGTGAAGCTGTAAATCTTTCCTGGAATAGTCTGAAAACAGGTATCATCAATAAGGTAAAACTTTTATATTAAATGTGTAACTTACTAATGAAGTAGCTGGAATTTTGGTAGGAAAATGATTGATATTACTGCACATTATAACTATAATAAAAAACAGAAAATTTTTATTTTTGAAAAAAGTTACAAATACTCAAAATTCAAAAAGGTAGCCTTGGTACAATTTAAGACCTTGAGTGAGGTACAAATTAGGCGACTAGGCTCACTTTGAATTTATAACGAAATTAGATAACAAATGCTACTGTAATTTAATTTCTTGGAAGTTATTTTGAATTCACATAAATATGATAAAAAAGACATATATTTAACATGTTTAAGTAATACTCTAAACATTGAACCCCAAAAATAAGAAAACTTTGGCATCATATTAACTCGAGGTAACTGTTTCCAGAATCTAATTTCAACTCACAAAATAACAATTGATTCATTAGTTCAACATAGCAAAGATAAAATTTGAGTCAAAAAGTACAATTTAATCGCCGGTATAATATCGGCAACCCTACCCTTCCTACTTATAGGCTATAATATATAACCCTACCTACTTATAGTCTACAAATATATATTATATAGACACGATGCTTTGGTGCAGGTTTTCACTTTCAATCTTGAAGGTAAAAAATTACATAAATATAAATACCGTTCCAAGCTGAACTTTATTAACCATTCCGGCAAATCCGTTTCTGGCCGGAATTCCAAAGTTCCAATCCGGTACATCCCTATTTACAATGAATTAAAATTAATTCAATATTTGCAATAATGAATTAAACTTGATTTATGTTCATCATGAATTTAAATTAATTCGTGTTTCATTCATCAAACATTGAATTAAACTTGATTCAATATTAATAATAACGAATTAAAGCTTCCAGTAGAAAGTTTCAACAAAAATACCCAAATATGTTCGTTACGGACCTAACATGCACCACTAATGTTAAAAAAAAAAAAACACTGATAAATAATTTTTTTTTTTTTTTTTTATAATTTAGCCGTACAAATATTTACAAGTTCCGTAATTTAAAATATTTAAAAATGGCAAGGACGAGAAGAAGACGGGGTTGTCTTATCACCAAGTCCCTTGTTTGTCTAGACATTTATATAAATACATGGTAACTAAAATGAAAATTAAAAAATTAAGAAAAAAGCAAAATATTACAAAGAGGTTTATATAAAATCCCAAATAGTTTAATAGTTCAAAGTTTTGAAAGATATTTTTTCGATTTTATTTTTTGAAAGAAAAATTTAAAAGTTCATTCAGAAAAACAAAAATATCAAAAAACTAAAAAACATGAAAAAAGTAAACGTAAAATTTAATTTACAATCTGTTCTTATAAAGTGTAATATATTAATTCCTCAAAAACAAATTACAAAATATTAATATAAAAAATTAAAACTCAAAAAAGATTACTTTTTTTATTTTTCCTCTCTCTCTCTTATTTAAGAAAACTAATAAATTTATTTAAACTAATGAAATCTAAAAATGCTAAAAATCTTTATAAGTACTTTTTTTATAATATAACAGACTGTAATACCTATATAAAATTAAAGAATTTAGACCTTCCA